TGGGACTTTGGTAGAATTTTTAATTGAATTTCATCAGATAAATTTGACAATTCATAATTAGTTGATTACCATCATTTCCAATTCCAAATAAATTCCTAAATTACTGATCCAAAGTCCAAACCACAACTTCCCACCACTGCATGACTTCTTAAGTTTAAATGAGAGCCAAATGGATAACTATAAGATTAGATGACAAGAAAGAATGCGTTTCTTATTTGGATTGATGTCACTGTGTTCTTTATTGGTAAAGGAGACATTCACCTTCATTTATCCCTGATAATGCATGGAAAAGGATCCCAGGGCCTTTCAAAGAATCATGGGAACGACCTTTTAACATCAAGCAATTCAGTTGGAGTGACCCTGTCTTGGTAGGTGGGCAAGTTATGCACTGGTTTTTTAATCCAGATAAGTACACTACTTAAATGGAGCAAATAAATCTTCTATACAGGGGTAGGGAAATTAAGAACAAAAATTGATATGGTAAAAGAACAAAAATTGATATGGTAAAAGAACAAAGCATCATTGCAAAGGTCAACAAAAACAAAAAGAGGGCCTTAACCCATTTCTTCCTTTCCAAAATTGCATGTCACACGGCAAAAGTTGAACCTGCATTAATCACTACCACTACAGCCTCTTCACAATTTACCTTTGAAGCAAAATAACAATCCGGCATGCTCATCTAGAAAAAGAGAACAATATTGATAGGGCCTATCTAGTAGAAAACAGGGAGGAGAAAAAGAGAAAACGAAACAACTGAGAAGAATATATCAGCCTCGAATACCTACTCCACCTCCAATGAATTACCATTCGCAAGTAGGATGGCGCAGAGCGAAATAGAGTAGGAAGTAAGCGTGAGACAGTGATCCTGTAACAACACTCATCCAAAGAATTATTCAGCATCTTCCTTCTGCTTTTTTAATGCGCATTCATCAGCTACTTTCTGTTTAACCTCACGACGTTCTCTCTTCACTCCTTTCACTTTGTTAGGAAGAGCCATTTCTCCAATCTGTTTGCAATAAATAACAATTACATGAAAAATTGCACCAGACACTAATATTGGTAAAAATAAAATTACACATAACTAAAGAGTGGATAGTTGTGTGCAGGGGAATAGGTCCCCACCAATTTAATTATAATTCAATGTACCAAACTTAATAAACAATTGTCCTCTTACCTTCTGATCAGGAATGTAGATCTTTCTAATCTTTCCTTCTATGGCATCCTTGCTAACATTTTTCACCTGCAAAGTGACAATGAAGGCTAATTTTACTAAAATTTCATCTTACTAAGAAGACTGGATGATGTAGTGGGCAAGTCTTAGTGAGACTACCTTCTTCTTAGGCTGATCTTTAGCTGTTTTCATAGCCTCTTTCCTCAAGCCTTCATTTGGAAGGCAATGGCGACGAACTACCAAATCCATAGAAGGGCCAACTTCCACAAGTTCCATCCTTGGTACTACTGTGCCAGACTTTTTGAGCCGCAATGCACAATGTGTAAGGAGCACTCTATTTGGTGACAATGCTGTACACACATAAGCACGGTCGATCCCAGCAAGATTTAAATTTTACACAACCTGCATTAGTTGAATTTATGGTTTTATCAATATTAATCCTAAGTATAAAATAATTAGAAGTTCAAAAAGCTCCAGAACCACACCTCTCCCCGAAACAGATCAAGCAAAACTTCCTTCAAATGTTTTAGCTGGTCCACACTCTCAAATCGCTCTCCAATAAAAGAAATGAAAGGCTTTGACCCAACCTGGGGTGCTAGTTTCTTGTCAAAAGTGAATGAATCCATAGATTTGAAGTTTTCAACTCCAACCTCTACCAAGTCATAAATGTGGTGATCATATGTCCGCCCTATAACAAGATTGTCTGGTTACTTCTTTGAGTGTGAACCATACCACACAAACAGAGGCCATACCGCCATAGGATATCTAATCAGTCCATTTTTATCATCTCGCTTCATTCTGAGAAACATTTACAATGGTTTCACGCACTTCGGGAGAATTTGACAGGCTCAAATAAACTAAAACATCCATACTACCAACAAACAACAAAAAGGGTTAGCATTGTGCAAAGGACAGCAACAATGACATCCCAACTCAAAAATGAGAAACAGAGAAAAATAAGAACTTCCATGCTCTCCCCAACTGGGATAAATACAGGGAATGCTATTATGAGACTCAACAGAATCCTGAATCCCCCAAGCCAAACACTACCTTGGGACCAAGATTTGTAAAACCATGTTGAATCACAATATAAATCGCATTTAAGCATGTAAGTCTTAAACTTTTTTGTATTTTTAACACATAAATACCTTTGTCAGAGACATTACGGAAAGCAACATACCAAAAAGATAAAAAAGTCCATTGATTTTCTAAAATATAGATTGATTTCAAAACAAAACCAGAATGGAAGAGCACGAGAGCTATACTGACCACAAAAAGGCTGCAATCGGTCTTGAGAGAAAAGAACTCCAACGAAGTTTCACCCCCACTTTCAAATGGCCTAATATTATCATTCTTGCGTGTATATCTCACAGCTCCACCTTTCTTCAGGTGGTAAATTTCAGTCAGTACAGCATTCAGAGTGTTGCTCGTCTTTGCACCCTGAAGCATCAGCGTCTTCTTCCCAGTTTCAACCTGCAAACAGCATTTAAAAAACCACAGAAGACCAAGAATGAGCAAAGGAAAAAAAAAAAAACTATGGATTATAGATGAATATCTGAAGAATTTTGAAACTTACGAACTTGGGAGCTCGTTTTTCCAGCTTCCTTTTAGCTCTGGCATTCTTGGGAGTCTGTATCTTCAACATGGTAACCTGAAAAAGATTACCCAGATATACCGGACATTGGAGGATGCCGATAAAGTTCTACACTTTATTCTCATCCTCAAACAATACGAGGCGGAAAATCAGAAATCCTCTGGACAGTTCCCCTTCGCCTCGGGGAAGCTTGCGGGTTCTGAAGAAAACCAGGTACGGCTAGGCCGTAAGAACTGAAAAGAGATATATGATATTAAAACCAGTTGTCGAATTTCGCGACGAAAGTTCTTCAATGGGCGTGGGGTTTTTACGATGACTGGCTTTGAACTCTGGACCTAAGGCCCTAATGTTTTCTCCTTTCTTCTTTCTGTATTTTGAAGGGGCTTTTTTTTTTTTTCACTTTTTCTCAAATAGGAAATTCCTTCTTAGAGGGTTTTGTAACTTTTTTTTTTTTTTTTTTTGAATGAGTTATGTAGCTTTTAAAAAAAATATTATTTGCAAATTATTGTACATTTGATCATAGTAAAACATGAATATGCCATGTCCTGACTCAAATCTGCACATAGGACTCAAGTTTAGAATTCAGGGGTGTCATGCTCCTCACCATAATTAATCACTAGATGAAGATTTTGTAAATATAAAGTCAGTGTACCTAAATAAAATTTGTTTAGTCAAAAAGTTGTTATGCAGTTGAAACTCTAATAAATTATATAATTTAAATTATAAAATAAAAAAATATCTTAAATAATAAGACAAATCCTTAATTTAATGATTTATGTTTTGTATCATTGTAAGCTACCTCATTTTTATTTCTCTCACAATATATATGTATATGGAGTTAATGTTTATCCACCTTACCTCAAAAAAATTAAGAGGGAAAATAATAAAAATTATCTTAATGTATATTTTAAAAGTATGGTAATTTAGTTTTTTTTAATAAAAAATTATTGAAATGACGTAGTTTTGGGTTGATTTTTCTCTTAATCTTTAAGAGAATGTAAAGCTGATAAACACTATTTTCTATGTATATATATATATATATATATATTTTTATCCCACATTGAGCAGATTTCTGCAAATCAATAGATAGCCGGTGGATTTGCACTTGAAGTTCAAGTTCAGGGTGGATCTCAGATTGCCCAAACAGTTCATGGGCGCATTTCCTATTTTCTTTCGTAGAAAATATTTGTGTGAAGGGAAAAATTATAGATTTTTTGTATTTGTGATGTGCGGGAAAAATTATAGATATTATTGTGTGCAGCATCGTAGATGACATCTTTTTTGAATGAAATTAGTAGCAGGAAAAAGATGTAAGCTTTGCTACTTTTATTAATTAAGGATTTTAATTTTCTGCATTACTAATCAAGAATGCAAATCTTATTGATTATTACTAATTATGTAAGGTTGTAAACTTTATTACTTTTATTCATGTTAGGTTGTAATTTGCCACTTTCATTAATCAAGGATTTTAATTTTTCTGTCTTTCCTTATAAATTGCATCTACAACTTTCAATATACAACAATGTAATGGCAAAATATGTTTCCTAAGATGAGCGCAGTAAGATTCCATCCTTTGTCACGTGCTGTTTAACCTTTTTTTATTTTTTTTTCGTTTCCGATGTTTTTGCCACCTAGGCTATGATATGGACATTATATATATATATATATATATAAAGTCTATTAACGGTATTAACTTATCACGTAACCTTAGATATTTAGTAAATTTTTATATGAGAAATACAAATAGTTAACATTCTTGTTGTATCTTATTGTTTAGTTTGGAGGAACGATATTAACTTATCATGTAACGTTGAACATCTAATAAATCTTTGTATAAGAAACACAAATATTTACAACTTTATTGTATGTTTGATTTAAGAAAAACAAAATTAACGGTAAGTTTGGATTTATGATATTACACTTGTCCCCCAAAAAATCAACGAGCAAATCAATGGATGGGCCCAAGAGGTAAACCAACCAACCAGTAATCTTTGGTTGGTTGATTCTGATGTCACGAGATAACAAGCCGCTGCAAGTGTTTTAACTCTGCTATGAGCTCAGCAAATGAGGGCCGCGCTTCTGGATTACTGGAAAAAAAAATAGGAGTATAGGACCAAGAGGTAACCAAATAAACTGAAATTGATATTTTGAAATTGTAAAACAATGATTGAAGAGCTAGAACCAGATATTTTGACTTACTTCTGCCAACATTTCTGAATAATCCTCGCTACCAGTGGGTCAACCTCCTTGGGGATGTCAAGGCGTCGATTTTCAGAACCAACTGCTTCGATAACTTGCATTCGATCCATGGCTTCCCAAGGCACCCTCAGAGTAGCAAGCTCCCACAGGATGACTCCAAAGCTATAAACATCACACCTACGAATCCAGTCCAAAGATTTAAATTAGTTATTTGCTGGTTATCCTCATATTTTGGCATCATTGAAATTGAAATCCAATTCAAAGCTGTAGCAGAAAGAGCTGCAAAGAACTCTCATTTAAATGATCTATAAAGGCGGTAATGAACTACGTACTCACTTTTCATTTGAGGGCTTTTTGCAAAGCAGTTCTGGCGCTATCCATTCAGGCTAACATAAAAAAGACAACTCAAAATCAGAGATTCAGAGACATCTCAAAAGGGTTTAAACTAAGATTTGAAATACATTTGAGCTCTCATTGCTGAGCAGTTCTGGTTCCAAGTTACTCACAGTTCCTGAAGTTGAAGTTGATGAGAGGAAAGTATTGTACTTTAATTCTGACAACCCAAAATCACAAACCTGTAAATTTTGTCCAACAATGATTTTTATGAGTATCTTGCAACAAGAACGTTGGTCATGTTATAACATCAATCGAAGAAGAAGTTCAACTGTTCATGCTTTTGCAAATCAAGCTAAGATGAAAAGATTGCATTAGAGAAAAACTTCCTATGAGTTATGATGACTGATGCAGCACCATGTATTTCTATCATATCAACTGGATTAGTCTCTGAGATTAAGGAATCTTGGGCCAAAATTCAACAATTGCAAAGTGCAGGACAATCCTAGTTGCAGGCAAGAATACTCTTCTGCGGATCAGCAGTTCAGAAGGAAGGTAGGCTGGTAGTTGGAAATGATGCACAGTTAAGACAAAAAATCATAAGCTGTTTCATTCTGGTACAATGGGAGGCCACTTAGGCTATCAGGTAACAGCCAAGAAAA